GTAAATCCTTGCTGACCTCTTCCTCTCAGCCACAGACCTGGAGGAGTTTTCAGATATTGTTTGTTACTCCTATTGCACTCATACACTGTAAAAGCTCTTGTGTCCCATTCAGCCAAACTCAACTGTATCTAGATGAAAAAGAGTCTGCAAAAAGCTTAATGAGACTTCCATGTAGAATAGAAAGGGAAACTCCCGCATGAACTTCGTTGCTTAATTAGAAGTGGAATTTGCTGAATTTTGTGTGTCTTATCTTAAAGGTATAACATTATGTTATGCCATTCGTTATTTATAGAATGTTGCTGGTTTTGCTCAAGGAAGAAGATAAGCAGAAAGTAAGCAGCACAGGCAGTTTATAAGTTCTCCTGGCTTCCCCTATGGAACTCCTGAATCCTTTGAACCAGGAAGTCCCTCTTGAGTGATATGCATTCAGTGCTGAGGTGCAAGGCATAAATGACACTGGATTATCTCATGATTTATGTTGATTTTAAGATGTCCCTCATTTTAAGATGGGAAACTGCTTGTCATTTGGGAAAAAATCATGGTGAACCTAATTTCTTAGACAGAAATCTATCTGCCTAGTATTATTTTCTGCTACTTGAAAAATTTAAGTCTCTGTGACCATATGGTTTTAACTGCATTTTTGGTTTATCGACTAATTTATATCACTGTAGCATCTTCACAAAAGGCTCTGAGAGCCCTGTACGTACATTAATTAAGCTCTGTGACACCTCTGAGATTAAGACAAGTACTGTTCTCATTTTTCACATTGGGAAAATGATGCATGGACAAACTGGTGGTGCATTTCTGTGATACAAATCTTTGGACACTATAGCCAGGTCAAGATATTTCAATTTTCTCTCTTCCTTATGATTCCTTGACCTATATGTGGCATTTTGCCTATTTTCATGCTTAAATAGTTTTTTTTTTCATAAATAATCACAGAATTACAGAATAGTTGAGGTTGGAAGAGACCTCTAGAGATCGTTTTCCTAATGTAGTTTAGTTTTCTGTCTAGGAGCACAGCCCCACATAGTGCTGAATGGGCATAACTAAGGGAGGGGAAAAAAAAGTACCCTTTTGGGGAAAAGTCTCTTAAGCAAGTCTGCCGTATATTAGTTTAATTAGTTGTACCATACATGGATGAGATTACACTGAAATAGATAACTGGTTCCACTTTGTTAGTGACAAAATTGTTTTCATCATCATAATTTTTCTCAATCTCTGGCAGAACTGAAAAGAAGGATAGATCTCTACATGCTTACGTGGAAAAGACCATTTCTTTTTTTGCTGAACAAACAAATTTTATCTGTAGCATTTTCTGTCCTAAATTGCATATATGTAAATATGTATTGACTCACAAGTAAAATGATAACATAAAAACTTAATAGTCTCAAGTAGGGAAAAATTACTTTTTAAATTTGATGAGGACTTATCAGAGATAACTAAATATAAAATTATATCATACTCTTCAAAAAAAATGTGTAGCAGCAAGGTTTGATTAGAAACTGAGAAATCAGAGTGGTTGCTTTGGGAAAAACTAACACAAAACCCAATAAAGCTTGATCAATGTGATGACAAAGTGAAGATATTCAGTCATACAGCAAACTCTTATTTCTGCATCTCTGCATCTTTATGTCATAATAGAATTCTTCAATATATATTTGTGGTCTTGAACTTATTTTGACACTCTTGCAAGTACAGACTGTTTTGATGCACTTTTCACTGCATCTGTCAGTCCTGAAGACATTCTTCCCTAACTAATGTTTTATCTGCACTGGGGCATGCTTATCATAATAATGGGAAATAATGGTTTCTTTCAAATTAGAGTCATTTCTTTCAGTGTTAATCACAAAATTTATTGCATCAAACCCTGAAGTAAACAGGATTTTCTTATCCCCTTTCACAGATGGGAAAGGGAGAGACTAAAGCCAAAAATCTTTGTAAGCAACTACCTTAAATTAACCCAGTCCAAGCACCAATAGCTCCAAATTAATTTCTGCAGATTCCAACTTGATCATGATGAAATGAATACTTACCCTAAGTTGTAAGAGTAGAATTTAATATTTGTTTTAAGGCTGGCAGAGGATTATGATTTTTACTACTGTCAAAACTAAGTGTTTGAACCAGCAATATAGAAGGGTCTGTCTGCAGCTTATGAGCTCTTTTGTGCCATGCAAGCTGTTCAGCAAAATCTCAAAAGTCAGGTGTGGGGCAAACAGTGGAATATTCTTTTTTGTTCTCTGTGCCTGCCTATATGGCCATAGCTTTTCCTTTGAATTACAGCTTCTGTCAGTCCAGTACTTTTAGGAGGCAGTTTAGCTGATTTAGGAAGTGAATCAGAAGGTTTAATGGACTACACTGATCTTACTTTAAAAAGCTAATTTGCAATATCCTTTGGGTTATTTGAGACAAGCAGGAAAAGTGGTGCTGGTCTGATCTGATTACATTTCGTTGTAGCCTCCAATGATTGACTGTTTAGTGCATGTGAACTGGGAGGCAAAGCTTTTCACTTGCAAGACTCCAGTTTGTATGATTTCGGTTTAGTAGAAGCGGGAAGTGGTTTACCTGCCCTGTGTGATGTCTCTGTGAAACTGGGTGAACTCAGTTTAGGTAGCTTAACAAACAAACAAACAAAATATATAATGTAGAAATGCACCGTCAGAAAGAAAAAGGTCGACTTAATCTGGGAGCAGTACCAGCTTCTCACCTGGGTTCCTCCTGTGGAAAATAGCGGTGACAATCGGGAGGGACCTTGCAACTTGTGTGCAGGGTGTGCTGCACCTTGGATGCGGGTTTGCTTGCATAGATTTTGAGCATTCCTTATATTCCTTATGGAGAGCTGAGCAGTTATGGGAGGATAAAAGCTATGTGGTGCCTTGGCGTTGAATGCAAGCAGGGTGCTTTTCTCCTGTTAAAGCACAAGGTTAGTTTAAGTGTAGTTTCCTTGAAATTTCCCTTTGAATTAGGTGTTAAATTCTGAATATGCAACTGGAGCGGGTAGTTGCTGATGCATAGGATGATGTGTACTTTCCCTAACCACTCTCCTTCCCCCTCTTGCTGTGTCAGTTTAGATCCTTTCCAGTTGAAATGAAGGGCCAGCTAATCATAAGATATATAAAGTCGCAGAGAGAATTCTTCAGAAATACTTGCACCAACTCCACTGTATGGAAAATTCAACTGCTTCTACCTTGTGAAAGTCTGCTGTTTCTGTGCATGTGTTCTCACGTATCTTCTGCTGAATGTTGCCTAATTTCTTTTGATATCTGACTAACCTCATTGTAATTTCCTCTGGTAATAGAAGTGGCAGAAAAGTTTTCCATAGAACAAGCCTAGTACTATCAGTTCATGCTATTTTAGCTCTGAATTATTCTGCAGCCATTATTCGAGACCCTCAGTCCTCAATTTGTCATTTGTTTGGAGGATTGGTAGAAGGCAAATTAGACTGCAGCCTCGGGGCAGGGTTAAGTCTCTGCACTGCGTTTCTGCGGCATTTTTGGGGATGAGACCCTAATCACCCCCTAATCGGGGGCTTAAATCCTACTGTGGTGAGTATCCTTAATAACACATGATATTGTCCTCGTCAGCAGGACGTACCGTGTGCCGTTCCAGCAGCAGTGGAACCAACCACCAGCCTCCTTCTGACAGAGTCCTGGGGTGTCTGGTGTAAAATTAAACTCTGCAAGTTGGCACAGAGAGCTCTGCGGCCTGTGCCTGGCGGGAAAGGAGACTCCTGTAGCTCTGCTAGTCCTGTCTTCACAGTCCTCCTCGCTCAGCTTCAGCTGACGTGCGTTAAAATAGAAGTCATCCTACGCCAAGTGGGAAAAGCACCTGCTCAGATAGCTGTGGAACTTAGGCCAGAGTGTGTCCGCTCCAGGAAAAGGAAATAATAGTGAGCATCAGCAAATAGGTTTGGGAAGGAGAACTGCCTTTGTCCCCAACTGCTCTTAGATGAAAGCAAGTTCAGTGGTTCAATCACATCATGTTTCATTGAATATGAATTTAAGTAAGACTGTGTACACAAGATGTGGATTATCTTGTTTTGCTTTTGCTTTGTTTGTTTTCCTGATCTGGAATGGGAACGGTACAGCTTTAAAAAATTGCAGTAAAGTCTGTCTGAATCCTTGGTAGCTATAGCGCTGCCTGCTATGCTAACTAACCTGTCCTGAGTGTCTCTTCAGACATACTTTTTGGAGAATCATAGTGAACATTTATCATCTTTGACAGCAGTGTTTGTAGGCGAGGACAGGGGAGTGCCTTTCCTCCTTTATTTATTTATTTATTTATTTATTTTTTCCACTTCTGCGGCTGGAAAAAGAGCGCAGTCATTGGTACTTTGGAGGAGGGGGGAAGGATGGGAATACGCAAGGAGGTAACTTAAATGTAAATCTTAGTATGTCTTAGTGACTCTTCTAGCTATGATGGTTGAGTGCCGTATGGAAGTAGGCAGCTGAAAGCACTGTGTACTGCTCTCCTGTTAAAGCCGTGTGTGTTGAAGGAGACGGAACTGTTACCAACTCTCTCAGTGCTAGGTAATGTTCCTTTCCAGGATGCCTTGCACCTGTGCAGGCAGAAAGTCACTAATTTCTAATCTTCTGGTTGAGTTACATCAGTGCTTGGCACCCCTTCAACTTGATACCAGGCAGAGTTGCAGCTAAAGAGCTGATCTGGAAAACAAGGTGAGAAAAGAAAGAGTGAATGCAAGATACTTTCCAGACATGTTCAGGTGTTTCAGTGCTTCCCGTCTTACATGTTCCTTACCTGTGGATAGAGACTAAGCAGTAACAGTAATGCCCCCCCCCACCCCAGGCATTTATTCAGTTTCTGATTAATGTCTACTTTTTTTTTTTTTTTCTCCTTGTTACTGAACTTTTCATTTGGGATGGGTGAAAGTTAATCTGCCCAGTGGTGATGCTGAATTCCTTGTGCAAAAAGGAAACACATTAGAATAATGTGTAATTTACATCGCTCCGGGTGACACTGTTTTTGCCTTTTATCTGCAGAAACTGGAAACGTCTGACTTAGATAACTGGGAGAATATCAGAGGACCCCGTCTGTGGGAAGACTCCAAGACCGTTCAGCAGCAGCAGCGAGAGGCTGCCCGTCTGAAAACAGTGTGACTGAGGAAGCCTCCTTTGGTGCCTCTGGAAAATCATGTCTCGGGGCGGGGAGTCAGGAACACATGGGAAGGGGGAGGAGGAATCTGCACTGGGCAATCCATGCCAATGTATGCGCAAGTTAACTACGAGATCTATTGGAAAGACACTTTGTTGCATGAAATCCTTTGCATCCATTTGCAAAGAGCTTCATAGACTCTGTATGTAAATTCTCAATTAAAAAAATAGCTGATTGTTCCACTGAAGTTATCAGTCTTCCTTTCCCACTGTTTTTCAATAGCTATTGTTCAAAACTAGGATGCCTCAGCAGGGAATGACATCTCAAGAGTCAGCTTGTCACTACGGCAAGTTGTCACCCTAATGAGAGGAACAGTGCTGTCGTCTAGATGTGTGTGACCAGCTAAATGCTGCTTCCCAGCGCTCCCGCCTGACTTCAGGCCCTTAGGCCTAGAAGGGGCTCCACAGGCATATGAGCTGTTCAGGAACAGCGAGCCCAGCTTGGGCTAAATAATGGTCTGGTGCTTCATTTCCAGGAACTTGCCTATACACCAGCCTATGTAGAGTGTCAGCTGGTAATTGTTTAAGTAACGTTTGCTCGGCCATGGGCAGACTTGTGTAATTACTTCAGCGATGCCCTGGTGCAGGCAGGGGTGTTTGCGGCGGAGCTTCTCAGGTCGACTTGGAAGATTTCTTGCTCAACAAAAGCTGTGCTGTTCTTGTATAAGCAAGTACAATAGCAGTATCTTCTTAACCCCCTATTTAGCGGCAAAGTTCCCTTTACACATTGGTTACATATTGTTATTATACATTTCTATATGTATTACTATGTATATATTTGCGCACTTGCATAGAAGATTTTTGCCTTTTGATGAGTTCTTCTGTAATCTTTGTTTTCTTTATTTCTAACTTTGTGTGCTAAATATTGGCTATTGCAGGAAGCCATGATACATTCAGGACTGTTCTGCTGAGACAATCTGTAAGGATTTTAAGCTACTTCAGATAAAATGAACCTTCTGGTAAGATGTTTAAGCAGTCTCCTAAAACGCATCAGAGGAATGGAGTAGTGGAGCACAGATTAACGGTCGATGCTAGTTTGAAAGCAGCGCCACCTTGGAATTCATGAATTCCACCTTGGAATTCCACCTTGGAACTCATGGATGTGTGGTGGTCTTACACCTCGCTGCCAGAAATGTGTCAAATGCAAATCTAAATATCCTTTTAGACACTTTATGTAGGGTAGCCTCCTTGTCCTCATGCAAATGCTCCCTCATTATTTTTCATTATTTGCTTTTCTTCAGTCTCTCAGTTACAAAACCCACTTCTTCACTTGGAAAGAGGAGGCTTCACTGATTTTTAGGGAAGTTCAAATTCCTACAGCATTAAATGAAATATCTTAGCCATGTTTATAAAGACTTGCTCCTGCTATAATTGTGAAATTCATGGGAAAATACTGTTTCTAATCCGGAATGCAGCTGGGGCTGTGTTGTTTGTTTCCCTGTTCAATGTTTATACATCTTTGGTTCTAAATAAAAGTGCTAACAAATTGAAACAGCTAGGAGAGGAACTACAGAAGCAATACATCAGCAATGTGATAATAAATGCTATAATGATACAATTGAAAAATCAGAATATGGAGGCATTAAGCTGTGCTAGAACTAGAGAACAGGGGGGTAGGTTTAGTAGGTTTCATTCATCTTTTCACTTAAAAGATAAAACAACGTTCTCAGACAAGTAACACATAAAATAGGACCGCTAAGGATCAATTAAAACCATGCACCTTGCTAAGCATCTTTTCAACTCCAGCAATTGCCAATTTTGGTGTAGTGCCTCTGGCAGGGGTATGACGATCGCTTGGGTGACGTCAGGGCATTAACTGCACTGGCAGCGTCTTCTCTGAACTCAGGCTCTCACTGGTGCCAGCTTCACTGCTACTGTTAAGGTACTCACTGGGCTGCCAGAAATGTTTCTTTGAATTACCCCATATGCACCCAATTTGTGTGGTTTCAGCAAATGCATAATTTCTTTCCTACAGGATGCACATCTACCTTTTCCCAGCTCTGATTACAGGAGAAGGGAAGTTGCCATTGCATTTTATATGGAAAGGCATGCTCTGTCTTTCAGCATCGGCTCTCAGTATTTATAACTACCTTTGAAATGGTGTTTCTGGAAAGAGAAGGAATTAGCTTAGCATCTCTGAAGAAAACCTGCCATGCAATGGAGGTGTATTCAACTTGCACCATCTCTTCTGCTCCTGCACGGAGAGATACCCTGCAGTGAAACTATTGATGGGTGGTTGAAAAACATTCCCACCTTTTTCTTATGCTATTGACTCATTTATGGTTTAAGAACAACAACAACTTTTGGCAGGTACAGAGGTTGTGCGCTTGATGAAATGGGCAGAGCTGTTTCAGCAGTTTCTGTTTTTGTCCTGCACTTGGACAGCTGCTCAACTTTTATGCTCTGCTTTTCTCAGCCACAAAATTGGAAGCAACGCTGATGGAAGGGGTCTTGAGAGAGTTAATTAAGGTCTGTTTAAGTTCTCATCCGTCATCGAGTAGAAGGCACTTCAGAAATATGCCACTAGGGAGAGAGGCTTCAAGTGGTTAAGGACTTGTGCTTAGTTTGGCTGCTTATTTGAACCATTCTTTTGAAAGGCCTGTTACAGCACATTTATTATTTATTATTTCTGATATACTTGTTGGCAACCCTGTTAAATTCCTGAATTGTCATTTGAAAAAAAAAAATACCCACAATGTGAATTGAAAAACCAAGCTAGAAAGGTAAGTAGTTTCAATAGTATCAGCCTAAACATGTTTATGTGGCAACGCTTAAGCTGGTGTGGAAGATGGAGGGCAGCCAGCAAAAAGATAAGATAGAAAGATGGAAGAAAGACAAGTGGCCCACAGAGGCGTCCAGATGGTTTGCAGGGCCTGTGGCTGGAAGGCCAGAGGTAGCGAGTTAAAATCATCAATCTGAGTTACTGATTGACCCTTTTTGTGCATTGTGGTAAGTGGTGTGACTAGTATGATCTTCTGTTTACTCTTAAGGTGCTGAATTTGAATTTCTAGCCTAAATCAAGAGCAAATTTCCATTTCATTTCCTGTATTTTCCAGAGTATTTTCTTCCTGTAAGAAGCAGGAAAACCTAAATATTCACTGCTGCTAACTTCTTCTTGTATGTCCACCGGACAAAAGAAGAAGAAAGGAAAAGAGAGTAAAGAAGAGAATGATCAAAAGCCTTAGGAAAAAAAATTAAGATGGTCACAGAATTTTCCCTTAACTTTTATTTTTTTGAAAGGCCACTTTTTGTCAGTGTGTTCAGTGGAAATTTTATTGCTCTCCTTCATTGTGTAAAGCTTGCAGAAAAATGGCCACTGTATTTTAAACTAGAAGTCAAGACTCAAAGGGAGGTATTTGCTCAGTGTTAGACCTCCTTTAACTACAAGGAGTTGCAGTCAGACTCACCCAGTGTGCAAATAGTCTCTAAACTTAGAAACAAAAAATCCACACAGATGTTTTTCTTAAATTTTTCCTCACCTTGGGACCCCAAAGCAGTCTTTCATACCACAACCGTATTTTCTTGTTGCACATTTATAGCTAAGGTCTTACTTTCTACAGACAGGTAATTAAAGTTTCATGCTTGCCAGCTCTGTCCCGCTTGGAAAGTGTATTAAAATTAAATTCAACCCAAGCGGTAGCTGTTAATGCTGCAAAAAAGGAGATGTAAAATACAGATAGATATTGCCAACATGAGAAGAAAACAAATTATTGGAGAAAAAGAAAAAAAGGGAGCACCGTGCAGTACTAGCTAGTGTCTCAGCACAAGGAGTTTAGGCTCCATCACCCAGTGTTTTTTGAAGTCTGACTTGATGTGCTTCAGGGAAAAGTTAACATATTTAATTAAACATGTCTCTCAAAATATGACATTAAGGCCAGGTCCTTGGTTGGTTCTTAAATTACGTTTTGGAGTGGAGATAGGTAGGGATGGGTTGTAGTAGGAATATTTTTAGTTTTGATCAGAAACCTTCAGCGTCCTGCACTTCTTCAATATATCATAGATCTGGTGAGTCAGCTCTTCTCCATTCTTGTTTTAATAAACAAGCTACTGCTTTTAGAAATACTACTTATAATCACTTCTCTCCTTCTGCTAATTCCATTAGCGAGGCAAAGAGCCCAAACCATTTTGGAGAGAGGATAGGTCTAAATTTGTGTCTGATGTAAATCATCATAACAAGAAATTTTCTTTTAATTTATGTTAATTTTCACTGGTCCTGAGCATTTTTGCTGTGTGGAGAATTGTGATGTTCAGTTTTGCAAATGAAGCATTAATTTTTTGTATCAAGAAGCTATCCATAGAATTGTGTCTGTTTCTGCCAAGAAACTGGAAAAAAAAAAGGCTTAGATTGATTAGTCTTATTTCAGTGATCACAGAACAAACATTAATAAAACTTTCCCAAAAAAGTGAGTTCAGTTCCTGAGCTGCTAAGTCCAAATGAAGCTGACTGCAAATTGTCTTCCTCCTCTTTTCCTTTTTTCTTCTTAAGAAAAAAAGTTTATTCTCTGCTGAGAGCTGCAGAATAGGGACTTCTAAATTAATTTGAAGATGTCCTGTAAAATGCAAGCTTAGAAGCAGAGAGCCAGTATTATATTTCCATATAATACTGATGCATACACTGGATGTCTTATTATCACCCAATACACAATGCTGTGCTCCCTATTCTATGTATAGGGGAAATTAAATGCACTTTTTTCTTTAAAAGATGAGATCTTCATCCATCACTAGGTGTCAGTTGCTAATAACGTTCCCAGAAAAATGTTATCTGTGGCCTTAGTGGACTATCTTTTGTTGAACAGAGGGCAGCCAAATAAGATTTCAGCTTAATATAGCTCTTTTCATACTTCTTGTAAATAAATGGATGAAGAAGAAAGAAAAGAGCAGGAGCAAAGAATAATGGATTCTAGTTTCAACTTCTTGGTTTTGTAATACATGGGGCATTTTAAGAAGGAAAGGG